TGGTCTGCCTCTTACCACATTTTTCAGAAATTATAAAAGATGTCCTTATAGTTTTATCCACCCACCCATCACAGTAAAACCCAGAAAAACAAAGAGATAAAATACATTTGATTAAAAAAATAATAGGGTCATTCTTTGCTCTTTTTTAGAAGTTGACAGGTGGAAAAGGAAATGGAGAAATGACATGACTTCCTGTATAAGCTATTACCTTTAGCAGACAAAAATGCAACTTCTGACTCTTTTGTAAGATAAAAATGCATTAAACAAAATAAGGTCATTTAGCAGTGCATCAAAATGTAGCTCTAATGCCCTTTTGCCCCAAAAGCATAGCAATTCAGGAGTAAAGCTAACAATATGATGTACACTGAGGTTCTTATTTCCCATTTCTTTATTTCAGTTTTATACTTGTGAAAATTCTCTCATTTCAATGCAGCTCTGAATGTAGCCATATGTCCTTACCAGAGAAGATTGTGCAGAAGTATTTCAGGAGTCTTGAAGGAAAATCTGTTCTTAAGTATTCTGTAAACATGCTGCGATACATGCCACAGGAGCCCCCTCTGAATTCACTAGGACTATGCATTAGTAAGGAAAATAGAGTTTGGCTCAAGGTGGCAGACCAGAATTTTAGTTATTCTCCTTGGTTTCTTTTTAGGAAGACAGCCTTGAGAGGAAGTTAGAGGTGAGGTAAAGTGCCTGATGGGGGTGCAGGCTGTTACCTAGGCCAGGCAGTAAAGTCGCTACCTGCAGCTTAGTGAGGTATGTGAGAGAGCTGGTCAGAGAGACAAGATGGACCCTTCAGCATCACTGAAGGCACACTCCACTCTGGAGACATGAGCTGTGGCAGCAGCATTACCTATTTAAGAGGAGGAAGAGTATTGCTAACACAGACAATATAGGATTACTCGACATTACCAAAATAATAATGGAAAGGAAGTGCAACTCCCTTTCTCTTGTGCCTTCCTCTACTGAAGGTGAGGGTAGACAAGGTGCTTTCTTGGTGTCTGAGGAACAGGGCTGCTGCCGACCTGAGGCTTTAATAATGCACACTTGTCTCTTCACAGACCAAGGGGTCATGATTTAGAGTGGATCAAATGGTTTATTGATTTGCTTTTTCAGGCATATTATCTGGAGATTGTTAAAACTTTTTTTGTTGGTTTTTTTTTTTTAGCTGGAATGTATTTTATTAGTCTCTTAGCATTCTCTGGGAAAAATGTATCCCTTATGTCCTTGCTTAAAAGCAATTGTAACTTATATGACACTTCGGATCTTTCCCAAGCAGAGCATTTTCAATAACATTTTTCACTTTCTTTAAGTCCCTTAGTACATCAGCAAGCTCACCCACTCCCGACTGACAGTGTGAGATTTCCCAGATGACTATAATTGTTAAATGGTAAAGGAAACTGAGGATTGAAGAATTAGAAGGATGTCATTGCTATCAACAGAAATTATAGCAAGAGCCATAGAAAAAAAGCAGTCATTTCAAAATCCAGTGCTGTCCCAGCAGGTGGTTTCATGATAGTTACAACAGGTGATAAAGATGTTTGTCCGGGCCCTCTGCTTCTTTATCACTTAAAACCCCATCTTGTTGAGTTGTGCGTGTCACAACCAGCCAACCTTATGCTTGGTTAGGTCAAACCTGCCCTGCACTGCTGCCATCTGTAGCTATTTGTAGGTGACATGGCTGCAGTGGTGGGATAAAGCTGTGAATATGTGGGAGGAAGCCAACAGAATATTGTATAGAAACTCTCAGTCTTGTAAGTACGCAATTACGCACCTTTTTGTTTGCCCCCCACAAATTAGTATAATTTACTCAGTAGTACCTAATGGTTCCTTTGAGAACATTACTGCCTATTATGTCAAGGCCTCTACTTAATGTATTTTTAGTTTGTGGATCACTGACCCACTTGAATCCAATGGCATCATTAAAGCAACCTCACACAGCAAGCCACCATGTGTGGGGGCAGCCAGGAGACCCAGGATCCCACAGAATTTGTCTCACCTGTGGCAGCCCCACTACAACTATTCCAGCTATTCCCACTGCAGAAATTACAGCTGTTTATAATAAAGAAGATAAAGTGGTTTTGTTTGTTTGTTTGTTTTTGTTTTTTTTTTTTACTTTCATTACACCTTCCTAGATTAATGCTGTTTACTTTTTTATGCACTAAAATTTGAATTTTTTTTTTAAAGGCAAGTGCTTTATGGGAGATGTGATTTTTGTGCATGTGAGGCAATGTAGAACATAAGAATTCTATTAAATGTTTCAGGAAGGTTGGCAGAACAGTAAATCAGCATGTCTAGGAAAAAATCAGATTATTATCTGCCGAATCTGCCTCTACTGTCTTCATCCCTCCATATCTGAACATCTGAAAGCTATTGTTGATATGCTGTTTATTACTGTGCTTATATGCTTCTGTCAATGTGATGGTAATTTTTCCATTTGCCCTCAGCCATGATATTAGAGCACAATAATTGTCTGCAATGTGTGTGTACCTGCTAAATGCACTAAGGTGTACCAAATGTGGAAGTCATTCTTTTCTTCTGAAAGTACCTCTGGAACCATCGGATCATATGGCTACTGCTAGAAATACAACCGCAGCTGTTTGCTAACTTAATGCAAACTGCATTAACCTGACATTATGTGTGCCCAGGATATTTATCAAGCCCACAGGATGAGTGAGGAGCCTGGGCCAAAGGAATATTGTAAGTTCCCAAGAAACCCACCAGTTCCTGAAAGAGCTGCTTATTTCCATGTTTGAAGTATGGAAGTACACCAAGCCAAACTCAGTGGTTTTTGAATGACTTCTACCCACAGGGCACCTGAAGGGTTTGGGTTTACTCAAATTGAGCCATGCAACCCAAATTTTCCTTAGTTAGCCTGTCAGAGGGGATGGGATGAAGCTGGAGGTCTGGTGATGCTGGAGCTGGCAATGTGTTGGGAGCTATGTCTGACCTAATCTGTCCAGTTGTCTTGCTGTGGTTGCTCTTACATGAATGAGCCTCATTCATCTGGAATAACTCCAGTGTGACAAAGATGCTGACAGGCACAGCCCAGTGAAACTTGGCATGTCATCCTAAGAAATGTTCACATCCGCACTTTTGCTCCTCCTCTTTGCCCTAAGTTATCCAGTGTTGTAGGGTAAAGCCCCCTTCAGCAACAACTAAGGTTAAAGTGGTGGATGTTGTGGTGAGGTAGCTGTGACACTGGCATGTACTTTCTTTCCACAGAGAGTAACCCCCAAACAAGCAGACAGCTGGAGACAGTAATTTCTTGTATTGCCACAGTGGGATCTACCAAAGCTTATCTTTCGGTGCCTTTACTGTGGCCATAGATCTTGTCCTATCAGAGGGGCTCTCACTATCCCCATGCTCTGTGCTACAGGGAGCAGGAATGTCAGTAGTAGGAAAGCAGTGAGGTGTGGGGCTGCTTCTCTCATGCCTGTGGTGCAGGGAAAGAGGCCTCAGTTTCACTGGGGAAATGCTTGGGTTTGAAGATGTTAGAAGTTTACTACTAAATCAGCTTCAGTTAAAATGTTCGTCTCCAGTTATGACAGAGCTTTTCCATGGTACAATTAGATTGACACTGAATTCCATATAGTTGAATAACCACATTTTCCCAATACAGGCTCAGAGATAGAGGTCTCATGCTACCCAGAGGTGAGTTTCAGAGGAACTGGTTTTGGTAGCAGCCACTCCATCTCCTTTTCCATCTGTACATTTGCCTGCCCCAGGTTTTGCCTTTTGGTAGTGCTGATGCAGTTTCTTATGGGGTCAGTTCTAAATTAGATCTTGGAGGTAATCTAGATGAAAAATAATTCTTTGGATGGTTTATTTGTGAGCCAGTTCAATTCAGTGATCTGTTTTCCAGTGCAGTCACAGGTTACGGCTTCAAAATATGAAATATTTGGCTTTTAAATTGTTCCCATATGACTATGACTTGTTTCCAATATGACACAAGTATTTGTGCAACCTCACTGTGAGCTGACGTAAGGAACTGGTCTGACTTCAGAACAAAAAGTAAAAATAAAAATAACTGGTTTGCAAAGTTTTTGAAGTCAGGCCAGCTCTCTGATGTGACTTTGAACATGGCCTCACGTCCATTTGCAGCAGGAACCAGGAGCAGGGAGAAATATCCTCAGTAGCTACTGGGACTGAATGCTCAGTTCTCCAAAGCCCTGTCCTCCCTGGCACAGTGCAGAGGGTGCCAGTCCATGGCAAAAACACAGAGACAGTGGTAAGAAGGGAACTTCTGAAGTCCATTTTACCATCTGTGTGAAGGCATTACAGGAGAGTACAAGAAAGCCAGAGTCCACAGCTTTCCAATAGAGTGAACTATTCCAATCTCTGGAGGTGCTTCTGGTGTCCTCTCAGCCTACTGCATTTCTGTGGTGCTGTGGAAGGATCCAAGTTGGTTCAGCTCCACATTGCTACTTTTACATGACAATTAATATTATTGTTATTATTACATTAATAATAATAATAATAATAACTTAGTGCTACAGGGATAATGATAAGGTGTAGACAAATTAGCTAAAGCTGTAAAGTTAAGGCTTATAAGCTAATACTGCATTAGATCACAGCATGAGCACTTTCATCTGTGAGTTTAAGGCAATTCAGTTTATATGCTTTAGTTTTACAGATTTATTTAATTTTCCATAACTTTCTTTAGTGCTTCACTGGTGTAGTTTACCAATGATAAATTATCTGAAGAAGAGACTTCTTCTGCTCTATGTCTGGACATGACCTTCCACAGTGAAGCCTTGGACCTTCACTGGGTTCACATGCTGTGTACCATAATATGAATAATAAATCCACTATGAAATCTTTGCTCAGTGTTGGAATGAAGCAAAACCATGACCCAGCCTTTTTTAAGTGCTTTACTTTCCAGGGAGCAGAACTGCTTTTTTCGTTGTCTCTTGAATTCATCCAGTATGGCAATCAAATGTAATTTAAATTACCAGCTATTAATACTATTAATACTTCTTTTTCTTCTCTCTCCCCAGATCTCCGGAAAACTTTTGAGCAGGAGCCACTGGGGAAAGAAGTGTCCCTGGAGCAAGAGGTCCTGCTCCAATGCCGTCCCCCTGAAGGCATCCCAGTAGCTGAGGTGAGCAGCAACAGCAGTGTCCTAGCACTTGGACATCCTAACTAAGGCCTGATCAGTGGCTAATGTGCAGTGACTTACAGCATGGCATGATGAATGGGTGGTAATGGAGAGCTGACTGACTGCTGCCCACAGATAGAATTGACTGGGAACTTATTAATGGCTTTGGGTTATGGCACCTTGCTGGGCAGAGCTGCAGGGGATTTGGTTTCAGATTTTTTCTTCCCTTTGAAAAATCACAGTTATATCTGGCATTTGAAGGACATTTAGCTGTTCCATTAGATGGAACGTATTCATACCAACCTACTCTCTTTCCTTCTCCTTTTAAAGAAAAAAACCCATTTCACTTTTTCTGAGAAACACCTTGCAAGCATGATATAAAGATGTTTTAATTTTTAGTTTGCCAGATTATATTTCCCTCACATGTGTGTGCATAAGCCTGGCAGCTTGGCACAAGGGGATCTACCATGGTCCAGTTCAGGCTCCCACGTGAAGCAGCATGTTGTTTGGGCAAATAGGAGATGTGTCTACCTAATAATCCATCTTCAGGAACTTATCTGGTCATCCTACTGGCATTTCAGTAAACCCAGAGTGGGTAGCCTGCCCTCTACCTGCAGGAGCCAGCTGGCCCTTCAGCAAAATCTGTGCCTGAGGGCAGCAGTGAGCGTCCCCTTGAACAGCAGCTTCTCTAAGTGCAGTGGTAGCTGCCCTTCAGACTCACAGCTCACAGAAGAGGGGAATTCTGAGTCACAGGGGGGCCTCTGAAATCCTAAATCCACTGCGGCTGTTAAGAGAAAAATTGATTGCTAATGACGGTAATTCCCCTATCTGAATTCTCTTCGGTTTTCCTCTACCACGCACAGAAGAAACTGTTGCCAATTTGCATTAGGATAAGTCAGACTGTCATGGCTAAGTAGCACAGTGGTTGTCACGCAGCACTGATGGCTGATTTCTCAGGAGATGAAGCTTAAACTGTTACCTCCCCTTCTAACCCAAGTTTAGATTTAATGGGAATTGCAGGCACATGTCCACAAACATCAGAAAGAATAATTAGAAGATTTTTCCCATTTTCTTGTTCTCTAGGCTGTTTTCTTTCCCCTTTAAGATCTTCAAAACTGTAAGGAGTGTTTAGGTCTGCCAAGCCAGCTTACTGACAATTGTAGTATTAATCAGTTGGGTTTCCTCAATAACTTAGCAGCAGGTTTTTATTTTCCTTTCTGATGCTTCTTTGCATCAAATCAACTTGTTGTTGTGCCATGACAGTTGTTTTTGCAACAGGATTTGTTGTTCAGGCAGTGCAGGGTTGTACTGGGGAACTTCATTACCTTTGCCAGAAAGAGAGATTAATCACGACGGGTAGTTTGTTTTTATGCAGTATTACAAGGACCTCTGAAATTTAAGCAGCCAGTCCGGTTGTTCCCTAGGATGGGTTTGTTATACCCAGTCATGTGGCTGGGACCCAAACAGCGCAATTTTACATGGTTCTTAGAAAGTGATCTCTGAAAAAAATCCTCTGTGAGCTGCTGTCATAACAGTTGTGGTTTTTCTTGCCTTCCAGTATCCTGCTCACTCTGTCATTAGCTCTTCATGATGGTACATTGACTGGCTCTGAATCTTATTTGTACCATGGTCAGGGCAGACACCAATTAACACTTGGCAGTCTCAGAAATTGTATACTCTCCCCATCTGACATTCAAAAGAACTGTTCTCAATGTTGTTTTTTTTCCTCTTCTGACTTTTGAAGTCAGAAGGAGATCAAACACCCAGATTGGACAGGCGCCTAATACAGCCTCTTTGTAGATTCTTTCCAACACTATTAAAAGAACAAAGACCTGAACACTAATGAATATGAATACCTTAATGTGACACTTTATTACAGCCACTTGCTGAAGCTGGTAAGATAAATTTTAAAAAGCAGACAGATGAAAGATAACTTGGTAGTTTGGAGGATTACATGATTATTTTAATTTAAAGATGAATGAGTTCTTTGTTTAAGACTTCATTTATTTGTTTGGAGAAGTTTCTGATATGATGGTACAGGTAACTATAAGAAAGGACTTGGGAGAAGGCAAGCAGAAGTCTGAGGCTATTTTCCATCTTGTTGAAAGACTGCTTTGATTCCAAGTAGAGTAGGTTAATGCATCTGTGAACAGCTTTTCCAAATGCTTTGGTGAGCATGTGCATCAGACTCTTCACACTCTGGGCACC